CCCCCTGTGTGCCTTGCCTCCCACGACTCTACACTATAAACTTGTTAATTTTCAACAGTTTTAAGTCATTTATTTTTAAATAATTAGAAAATAAAAAAACTATCTTGAAAATATAAGTACATTTCAAAAGCCTACCTGGATTGCTATTTGCATGCTGTACAAACAATTTGAGGTTGGTGTATAAAAAGCTGAAACTAACAATGACAAAAGACTTTAGGCCTAATAAATGTAAAGAAATACCACATTTTACCATAGACATTTTTTCATGTTTTTTAGTTTGTCCACGATTGACTTTATGCCAGAAATGCATAATGTAATGAAAGGTACCATAAAACACCTATAATCAAATGTGGTAATTACATGTAATCACTTCAACCCACTCACCAAGTTTTTTCATTTCAAAATCTTACAAAGTCTTGAACAATGCCTAATTAATTAGCTCTTAATATGCATTATTAGCAAAAATCAATTATTTTTACATTCTATTCAAAGACAAATGGCAAAACCTACCATCTTTGGCGAAAAGAAGTAAAACTGAAAACAACGTATTGCTTCTAGCTTTACGTCAACAGGAAAGGTTACAGTTTGCTTTTCAAGATGCCAGTACTTATTTTCATGTATCACTTCATTTACATACTCATTTGAAAAAGTTTTTGCACCCCACACTTTATGTATTATCCAACTAGATACTAGTAAATATAGCGATCGTGGAAGAGTGGCTTAAGTTCCTCAAAATTACACATAAACCTGTAAAAAATATTTAAAAAAATTAACTCTCTAAACAAGATACTTCAGTCATAATGTCATTTCATGATTTACTGTATAATTCATGTAAAAATGGTCTCTTAATGTAATACACACACACACACACATCATTATATACAAATTATAAACACAAACTTAATAAATTCACTATATCATTCTCACAAATTTAAAAGTGCAGCATGCAAGATCCTGTTAAACTAGTATGATTAAGATAACATTGAAAGAAGTTGTAGTTGGAACAGTTCTTCAAACATTTATTAAACTACGGTAGTACATAATATATTAACAACTAGGTTAACTAAATATATGTTATGTTAAATCAATAAAACTCCACGTTATACATAATTTAAGCTATTTTCTGATATTAAAAGATCATAAACTGTAAACTTATACCAACTCATGTATTTACATAACGTAAAATGTAATTTGTTAGTGAATTATAAAAATGTGCATATTAAATTTCTGATTAAAAAAAAAATTCATTACACATGCATTTCAAATGCATGTTTGATTGGCACAATTCACTGTATGCCAGTTGAGTTACCAATGGGAAATGTGTCACCTGTAGTGACTGCGATTGTTGGTTTTTGTGTCAAACTTATCTACTTCAAGTAAACCGTGGTAGTACACATCAGGAAGAATATTGCAAAATAATATAATGTATACAAAGATATGACAGCTCTGTGCTAATGTATATGTGATACATTTAGTGTAATATATGTTTGTACAAAATTGTAGTTGTGATAAATGTCAAATGTGCAAGTACTACACAAGAACAGGAAAAATTACAGTAGACTGTTCAGCCCAATGTCATTTCTAAAAAAAATTCTATTTAATTTTCTAAACCAACTTTAATATAGCCCTTCACATTCTTATACCTATCAACAAAATTTTTCAAGAATTCAAAATTACAACACAAGCTAAATTATCAAGCACACCGTCCAGTTTATGACTGAAAAACAAATTGTACTCAAGAACAAATCAAATGTTTGAAATACTTCTAATACAATAAAGGCTTGTTGGCTATGTTTAAAAAGCTTTTAACTGATGCCAAAGGTATCATATTTAGTGGCTGCAACAGTGTCATTTTACTTACACTCTTTTCAATTGGAGCTAGGCAATTAGTTGAATGTTCATTTATTGGTTACATTCAACTTAGATGGCTAAAAACTTGTAGCTTTAAAAATCAGGTTTCAATACCCACAGTGAGAAGAATATAGATAGCCCATTGTGTAGTTTTGTGCTTAACAAACAAACATATTTGCAATGTTTCAATTACCTGCATGGATAGTTGGAATAATTAAAATTTCAATAATAATCAGAAACACTAATTTTTATTAATTGATTAATTTGTGACAATATTATAATATTCAGATTTATCATATTCAATTAATCAAAAATAGTGATAATCAGAAATACTAAGTCATTTTCAAGACATTCATCAATTTAGTCATAGTTTTGATTAATTGATTACTTTTATGCGACAATAATCAACGTAATCAATTCTTGTACCTTATCTATAATATTTTGATTAATCATGTTAACTTCTCAGCTCTATTTCCAATACCTTGATATCCTTTCTTTTAGTAAGGTGCCAGAGTTGCAATTATGCTCTTAAGTGAGAATCCACAACATATTTTAAATGATAACAATAACTTTCTTGTTCTTAAATCAGAAATTATTATAAATAGAGCTAAAATCCTGATTGGTTTTTTCACCATAGCTATGCATTCAGCACAAGGCGTTTATCAACAATAAATCCTTCTCTTTGGTCCTACATTACTGATGCTCTTCTCACACAAAAAGTCCTTTCAAAAATTTGAATTTCCCAAGTGCATAGCTTTACAATATTAAAACTGATCATTCACACACTAACCCAATCAACTACAACAGTCAAAGTCCTTTTTGTATTAAACAAATACCAAAATGTTATGGACTGCACTTACATAGGTAGGAAATTATAGAGTATTTGACAAATTAAGTAATTTACTTCACTGAAATAAAAATTGTCTAATGGTCAAGTAGTAAGACTAAATATTCCTAAATATTAGACGTAGAGCTGCTTCTATCAATATGGTTTACTTAACTGATCCAGAAATAAATATATACATAAAAGCAAATGCAGATTTCAACTTTCAGGTGATAGATATAGGAAAACATCCAAATGTCAAAAGGTAAGACATTGAATTGTAATTATTAGATTAACAGTTATAATATTACACAGATAATATAGAAATACTTAAATATTTATCCCAAAAAAACTACATAATGAACTCTTTACTTCTAATATTGTTACATGCACCTGTCTTCAGAGACTAAAACTACTTTATGTTTGCTGATTGACCAGATTGATGATTCTACGAGTGTATGGTGTGCTTTATCATGGTGTTGTAAATTAGATAATATTCAAAGGGAGGACCTTGAATGGTATTGAAAATACTTCAAGCAAGAACAAAACAACCCTATTTAAAGGTGGAAGAACTCTAACATTATGACCGGGCTTTCAAAATTTGTGTTTTCTACTTGTTTGGCAAGAACAAATACCTGAATAAATATTTTGTTTATCAGTGGTTCTAAGAAAATCATGTTCATTTACAAAGTTGTACTTTATATATTCTCATTAAAAACTTTGAAATATTTCATGCCAATTAACTTTGTTAGCAAACAGCTTTTTCATAAAGCATTTGGAACATACACCTGTTACTACGAGTATCTCTCTACGTACCTTTTTATTGGAAATTTCTAAAAATGATAAATGATAAAGAACTAAACAAATAACTCATTTCAGCACCTAGTTCATCCAGAAGCTTCTATATGTAATTAAACTAGCTATAAAAGGTCCTGCTTATGCACTGTAATGATAGCTGTAGTATGCTTCCACCTAGTTTAAACTGGATTCTTTCACTTGTAAATTTTACTTATGCTATTTCAATCATATTCATAATCCTTCTTTTTCAGTATGTCCCTGCAAATAATCTTTATAATGCCAGCATTAAATTTATTACATGAAACATCTGAATGGAATACAATGTGAAACTTAACTATATCAGAAAAAAAATTTATATCCAATTCCAAGTGAAACATCTTAGAATAGTAGAAAATGTTCAATTTTAAATGAATATTTTCTAATGAAAAGTTTAATATCAAACTTCTTAATATTGTTATAGTACTAAGTATGTGGTACTGGCAAACTGTTCATACAATAATGAGGGCATGTAATATATTCTTGCCCAGTCAGCAAAATTATCACACTGTAAATTACAAGCTGTTGTAACACAATAGGATAAAGGTTATACTTATAAGTTATTATAAAGGCCTAAAAATAAAATAAATATTTAAATTATATGTTAATAATAAAGCCAAACAGCATGAGTTAATTTAACTTAGATAATGAACGTAAGAATCAGAGTTATAAAGTTAATAGTAGTCATAAATAATTAAAACATGTAATTAGTGAATTCAAAAGCTCAGTAAAACCAAATTGAATAATATGATTTTGTCATTAACGTGATTACGTCTTAAAGATTTGCAATTAAGTAATAATTAACATGAAATCATAGAACTTAGTTAGTTATACACACAGACATGGCTGTAATTTGTAAAACATCTACCCTAATCTGGCCAAGTTAAAGCTTGAGTTACTCAGTAACTTGAGTAAGGGCCCACAATAGTACAACTACAACTTACAATACTAACTTATGAATAATACAAGAACAACAAAGTTGACAATATAATTTTTTTTTTACAAATCTATAGCCGTAACCAAACTTTTTATTGTTACTTTAGTTATAATGAATAATACATTACATCTAAACTTTTCTAGATGGCAAAACCTATAATGCAACCTAACGAAACAAGAACGAACACTTAATTTTCTAGTACACGTTTACCTCCACTCGTCAATCCACCATACAGTTACGTTTCACACCATAAGAACACTAGATATTATAGCCATTACGCCACCAGGTGTGCATCTCATACATTTAAAATTATAGAATGAACTTATATATACAAAAGTGGCAATAATGAAATCACCGGAAAGTAAACACATATACAATATAACTATAAAATCATTTCTAAACTTAATCTGAAGCGTATACAGAAAAAATGAAGCTGTTATCTCGGCATCGTATAAGAACTCCAAAGTTGAAAGTTGACATTGATAAAATGTGTTTGACCAGCTGAAAATCTTTAAGTTGCGAACCAGGTATGTTAAGAATAGTCTTAATAGTAAAAAAAAAAGAAAAAAGCAAAAACAAAAACAAACAATGTTGTAGATATTTCTAAAACAAAAATAAACTCAATTCATTAATAAACACGTCATATTTTGCTTTGATGGGTTTGATGTGATTTAGCGAAACTGGGCAGTACCTGAAATGAAACATTGGAAAACAGATGCATATTAATTGCATTAGTAATAAAATGAGAGAATTTAGGCCAATACTCCTTTATTCTTACAAATGCAAAATTCTGAAGGGTTTGAGATTATGCGGGCTTTAACATTTGAAAATGAGTCGCGATAACAGTTGAAACTCCGACACATAACTTTGTTTGTAAGTGAAGAAGGTTTTTAAATATTAGCTTTGCTCGTCCGGTCTCAACTATTAACATTCTTATTGTGAAAGCTCCAAAGTTAAGCGGGAGACATCTCTATTGCTATTATACCCTACTATATTAATGGATAATTTTTTAATCCGTATATTGTTAAGAAAACACTAATGGGTGCAGATGGTGGAGGGGGGGGGGTATTTTCAAAGTTACGAAAGTTGTTTTTATTATCATAATATAATATAATACTATCATAAAGGGGAAGTGAGAATTCCATTGAAATAAATCAGATAAATAAGAAAAAAGGAGTCTAGTGTAAGGTTAATATGATATACTTCCTTATAAAAGAAATGGAGACTGATAAGAAACAGTGTATAATTATTATGTTAACAATCAAGAGTTGGCATTAGTAGGGTTTGAATTATGGAATGTAGATTCAGATATTCTAAAAGAAAGAGAGGAACATAGTTAAAGAAGAAAATTATTAATTAAAACTTGAAGTCATAGCGGACGGTAACATAGAACCATAGGTAACGAAGACAAAAATGGAGAAGTATTGATTTTTTAAAATAAGTTAGCATAAACTTCTATATATATATACATATGTACCGAGTAAGCATAAGTATATCCTATACCAATATATCGTTACAAACATGTTTTAAAACATATATAAAACGTGTAGTAGTGACTATCTCTAATAGATGACGCCACTACAATTTATTAAATTGAAAAAACAAACAACGTAAATATCACATATAGTTATCAAAAACTAAGAAACGATTTAATTATTTACCAAAAATCAAGGTCTTAATTTCTACAGTAACCATATTAATATTAATATGTTTTAATTGATATATCTTTAAACCAATACAGAATCATACTTTTCAATAAAGTGTTAAAAGTATTTTTGACACTTAAGGTAAAAACAAAATCAATAACGATTACTTTATATTTTTGTGGGAATACAAGTGTTTATTAAGTTGTTGTTTTTATTAATTATTTAAAGTACAATAATATGCTATATTTATAAATGTCTAGTTTATTCTAGATGATACGATTGTGGTTTTGGATAACAAAAATACATTTAGACTTCTAAATGGTGCAAGTCTCGCAAAAATGTACTGAGACATTTATTTAAAACAAAATCTGAAAACAAAAATGCAGGGCATATATTATAAAGAGAGACTCAAATACGCCGGAGAATGACTATCATCTGTCTACTATTAAACATGAAACAACCTGATACATGATTTCAAATTTGATGACGAGGAACCCACTTTGAGACTAATAATGGCTGGAGACGGCTTGAATGGGTAATGAAGAAAAACTTTAATACAACAGCAAATGTACAACGTTTCGACAAGGTGATGACAAAACCTTGTCGAAACGTTGTACATTTGCTGTTGTATTAAAGTTTTTCTTCATTACCCATTC